TGCCATTTGCCGCATGCTTTCAAAGTGCAATTGCACACATGTGGTGGAAAGCAAGTCAGGTGCATACCAAGCTGTATGGAACGGTAAAAGGGAGTTTGATGGTTCCTTGTTCAGCCTCGGAGTTTTTATTCCGATCACAGTAACAGTTCGTAATCTGCCAAATCTTCACCCGCATTTCAACAAATTCACGTTATTTGTCATTTGAGGTTGTCACCCTGCCACCTGGTGAGTGCTCTGGAGATAGTCCTGTTGTGAATTTACCACATGTATCATGGCATACTTATTCAAAAGTGAAGAACAGCATAGGATTAACAATCTATCCCATTTAAGTAGATAACAGTTATATCCTGTAGTTAATGAAAGTTCTAAAACCGACAACTGGTCCCAACTCTCTCTAACCGCAAAGACCAAATCACAATGAATTTCGTGAAGTAAGCCATCCAGATTAGGCTGTTCGTGTTAAGTCGTTATTCAGATAAACCCGAATAATGATGTTTGCGAGTGCAGGTCGCATTATACGAGACTGGATTCTTCTTAGGAATGATTCAAACTTTGATTGTTGGTCACAGTTAATCTCAAAATTCAAATATAAAAGATAGATGTCTTCCTCAAAATCACAAACCAGTGATATATTCCAGTCCCCTAGTAGTGTTATCTAAATAATCAACTCCGTAAAATTACTGAGTGATTATTTCCCTGGTGCATAATGACATTTAAATGTTTCTCAAAAATTGCTCACAGTTCTTGCATTCCAGAATTTCTGGAGCCCAAGAAATAGGTGTTTTTGATGCTCAGTATTTCTAACAAGTGGATTTGGTTTTATAAACAAACGCAAATCACCAGAAGTGTTTCTGTTAAAGTTTCCCACCGTCATGTGTCTAAATCCAAACCGAGAGTTTCGCAAGCATGTTTTTTTTAAAGCCGTAACATATTTGTGGAGTTGGTGAGTTTGTACTTATACTTGAGTACTACCCGGATTCCCGTTCAAGGCGAGAAAATCCAAGTATAAACATATTTACATCTCACATGCTTGACAAAAGTTTAATCAGGCTACATTGCCGAATAATTCATGCAGAACATCCGGGTTTCCTTTCAATCCAGTTCCCCATGGTTGTCATTCAAACACAGAATTTGTAGACAGACTATTATTCACAAGCGGTGGTAAAGCTCTGGCGGATTATGTCACCCATTATCTGGGTGACCTTCAGATGAAAAGTAACAATCGCAGTAAGAATGGGAATAACAGTAAAATATATTCCATCATTGATGGCTTGGATAATTTTAAACTTGGTTCTTTTAAAAAAACAGAGAGTAGCTGATATGAGGAATGCAGTAATACGCAGGAAGTTAGACGGCGGCGGACGCAATTTTACGTTCCGAAAACTTTTGCATCAATATTGGATCCTCTTATATAAGCTTCAGGTTTCGTGCAGTTTCTTGTATCCCAATTTATTAGGCCAAGCTCTTTGAAATTTCTTGTGCCAGGTTCTACAGATCTGTGGTCTTTTTAAAGGAAACCAAATATATGTGGTCTATAATTTCACTCTCCGTCATCCAACTTAACCGGTGTTTGGTACCATGTCATCTGTTACTCAGAGCAAATGTATTTATTTGCTTCCTGTACACTTGCGAAATATTCGTTTTCGGAACAATGTCAGAAAGCATTTAACATTTTGTTTTCGAAAAATGGATGAGTTTAAAACACTATTTGGTACAGGCCTGTACTGAGGGAATCATAGGTGATGAAAATTCACTCCGGTCAGGTAATTGCAAATGCTTGGGGGACTCTTTATGAACAAACAAACTTTTAACCAATTTCTGGCGGGAATAAAAAATCCTGGTGTACAGTATTTCTGGATTCGTTTATGACCAATCAATATTTCAATCCACAAAAATTCAAAAATATGTACACACGATAAATTTCACAAAATCATTCACTAGCTTTCGGGCCTGGAAGGGGAAGAAAGCAGGTCCAGCCGAACTCCACTATTTTTTCAAAGATGACTCTAACACGCCTGTAATTTTGGACCTAAAAAATAAGGCGCTGTCCAGTGATCAAATGCTCAAACCATGGTTCACAGTATGGCATTGCGATGGTAAGTTTTTCATGAACCAATGTGTTTTACAAGCCCTTATCCCACACTCCGGTGGACATTTTCTCCTTAGAACACACTTATTGAAACATACTCACGGCAAGAAAGCTTTTACTTTTCGCGAACTGCAACTAACAAACTGATCCAAAACAAGGTACTGCTCTATCCAGAAATATGTCCCTGGGGTACAAAACTACCTCAACAATGCTTGTTTCCTCGTCTCGAACTGTGATAATGACGACGCGCTTCACGTACCAAAACGATTGACGTTCACTCGTGTAAGAGTGTTGTAGACACTTTCTGCGCTGTCCAATATAAAATTCCCCTCTCCCCCAAAAACAAGAGTTACAAGTACAATAAAATTTGAAGAATGATATCTCATGTGCTCTTTAGTATTTTAGATGCCGCGTTTTTAAATTTATCTAATGGCGTCGCTTTACGTGTGTTTGAACCAAAAATCATGTACAATTACCTGTCTGCTTGGTATCTGCCAGCTAAACCGGATAAAATGAGCACGATGGGTGTTCACCGTAAACTTATAATCACCGTGACAAGCTATGACCCTCAAGTCTGCCGCTTTGCATTGTCAGGTATTGTAGAACCACCGAGAAGCGCATTAGTCCATTCTCCAAAATGAATGAACTGTCCAGAGAGACCTTTTCCAGGCTGCATTATAAACTGGCTTCCTATAAAATACTGGCCTTTCCATTTGGTGCACTTTTTAGGTTTAAACTGCAGCCCATCCATTGAACCTGAGAACAGTTATGTTTTCTTGAGTTGGAGAGCAAAATACCTTATGAATATCCATTCTTCCAGGAAACCATGACTTATATCAAAGAGGGAGGATTCATTGTAAGAGCACAGATTTAAACATGCACTTTGCATATCACCAGATCCTAGCAAAAATAGCAACAGAAAATTATTTCAAATTAGACAGAAGTTCAAAAAGTTAGGCAGTGTACTTTCAAAGAGAATGTCAGCAGGGATATCCCCACCACTAATAGATTTATTTTATATCCTACCTGACCTAAATTTATTGAAACCACAGAGTGCGTATCATTCATTTTAACAACTGTATTTTGTTCCTTCATGCCTAAAGGTATTTTTCGTCCTGTGTGTTCAGAATAGCTTGACCCGTGCAGCTAGTTCAGTAAACAACGTCCGTTCCGGTATTATGATCGATCGCCTTCTTCGATCTGAATTCATAGCACGCCTAATACAATCAAAAGGAACCCTGGTAGTCCACTAATCAACTAACACAATAAGAAAGTTGATTGCAAGACCTCCGGGAAAGACCAACCAAAATACCAGAACCGGTGTTGATCACCAATTTAACTGCATGGATTGCCATGAAGTGCCATTTTGAACAAAGACAACGGAAACTATCTACACAGTTGAAAAAAAATGCGCCAGTCGAAACTCATGAGCCGCTCTCAATACGTGGAGATCAAAAAGGACCCAGATTCAGTCTGCAAATCGAGGAGTAATTGACATGCAGAAACACAGGAAAAGTCAGAAAGTTTCTAGGCTCATGCTGCTCCACCACAACCTGTCAACCTGCACGTGGACAATGGGGCAGTCTACGTATTGTGAGGAGAATGGTGATCAACTTATCGGACAACCCCGGAGGGTCTAGGGTTATATGACATTGTTCGGAAGGGTCAAACCCAAAAAATTATTCAGGGTTGACCGTGCCAATCAACTATCCAACAAACAGAGCTCGACCAATTAAATGAATCATAACCAGAGATTATTCCGGGTTGACAAGACACCCGCACAAGCGCATCACAACTTAAAATGTACACGTTGATGCACCAGTAACTTACCCCATACTGACGATGCCACCCCAGTACGTGGTGAAACGTATGCAACCTAATCGCCTGGCGCGGCGAACAAAGCAGTGACCAATTAGACAGTGTAACTTCAGTTGAAGAAAAAGGACAAAATTTATCCACTAAGCCAAACTTCAAAGGCGAGCCGATTCCCAAACAGAGGTAAGACAGTGGTTCTTTGGCAACGTGATTGCGGAAATCAAATTCCGCAAGTAGGTAAGACCCATATTAAAGCACTGTCATAGTTGAAATACACAAATTTGAGCCTCATGAAATAACCGCCCTCAACAAAGTGCTGGGGAACAAGATGAACCCTCGAGCCAGAAGAGTAAAGCCAGGTCTATATTTTGACAAAAATGTACCTGGTTGTTATGTCGCTATTGTCCGATTCAACTTAAGAGGTTATCGCGCTGTCTCTAGTACTCTTGAAAGACCCGCCTGCGTTTCGCAGCTCCCAAACCCAGTTGGTAGTTGTTCCCGCCTTGATACCTATCTAGACTCTTCCTCTAAAATGAACAATTTTGTTGCCGGAGATGTTTGACTCGGAAGAAGAATTACCAACTTGATTCATTACTGCTTTCTCCTGACAAAGAATCTGATTCGCCGTTGTGTAACCTCGCCATTTAGGTTTGCTTTAACTATTTTCATTTCCTCAAAAGATTGTTTTGTCTTTGATCTGGGTCGGTTTTGATGGAAGCACTCAATCAAACGGTTGCATTGAATCATGTAAGGGATTTTGCTTCATTACTCATCGCAAAACATCTGTTTGGGTAAGACTTGATGCAATACATATGTATTTGTACGACTGAGATAGATGTATTAACCTCTCTTGATGCATGCGCTTTGATAAAGCAGGTCGTGATCATCATTGACTCTTCAGCAACCGGATCTGCTAAGACTGTTTGAAAAGATATCAAACAAAAGAATAATACAAGAGTAAAACAAAAGAGTTTCAGTTTTATGCGGCGTGATGTGTTAACAGGTGAAGCGATCAGAGAGTAATCAGACTGTAAGCTGTGAGAACAGCTGTAAAGTAGAGGCTTTTAACGAATATTCCTTGGGTTTTATTGATCAGGTGCTGGAGGGGAACAGACCAAACACAGCAATCGGCAAACTTCTCGCTACAGACCCGGACGAAGGAGACAACGGTCGTATAACCTATGAGATCACAGCTTACTCTCCCTCCAATGAGCGAATCAACGAAACATTTCAGGTCACAGATACCGGGATTTTGATTGCACTGAAAAGCCTGGATCGTGAAACTACACCAGAGGGCTATAGATTCAAGGTAAGAACGGTCAACTTAATCAGAAAACTATCGCTCTCATCTCGCCACTTTTTAGAAGAACAGGTTGCGAAACATTTGAAAACCTGCAAATTACGAGTAGGCTGGCTTGTGTTCTTCCTCTCCTGCTTGCTTTTCTCAAAACCTATTGTTACAATTTTGCATTCACAACTTTGGCTTGCCGGGCTGTGCAGAGTATGATCTTTCAGTTGTTATCATAATTTCCTTACCTGTAACATAAGATTCAATGTGAAAAAACAGTACACATCCCGGACACTATAATGAATGGTATTTGGACGAATTTTACTGTTAACTCCAAAGAACATTTGGATTATATTAAATTTTAAGCCGGGAGACATCTTAGTAGCAGTTTGCCTACCTATAGATTGTGGCATCAGTTCACGTTCACCAAAAATCAGTCGATAGGTTAAATCCGATTTCACCGATTCCAGCAAGACAACATTCACGGAATTGAGGCATGTGAAAGTTTTTTCGTTTTTCAAAGCGACAATTAATGCGGCAATCATTGAACATTGGCAATCAATAGTCACTATGGCTTCCTGAGCTTACCGCCATCTTCCGTTCTGCAAACAAATGTTGTCACAAACGCAGTTGGCATGTGTAATCAATTCGCAACAAATCGGAAAGCACCAACTAGTTGACCGAAAATCCGCCGAAGAAAAGTCAGCGTTCTTAGTGGAGGAGGAACTGTCAAGCTGTCAAACAGAATCAGATGTGGGAATCGAACTGGAACCGGGTGGCGGAGGGAAAGAACACAAAAATAAGGATTTGACTGCAATCGCATCCTCTAGCACGTGACAGTTGGCAAGGAATGTAGACTTCTTTTCGGAGAAACAGTGACTCAGATTGTAGCATGCGATTTCGGGCGGCCAACTACGTCTGTCAAGACTGTTCTAATGGCGATTTACATTGCTATACAAAGATGATAGTTTATGTGTGACCAGACAGTCTGGGTTCAGAGGCTTGCTACGCGGTTTTCCCAAACTGCATCACCCAGATCAGTTTCACCGGGCACCGAACAAATGAAATACAGAAGCCCTAATCATAAACCTACCAAGTAGAAGAAATTTCGTCCCGCAGTGCAACTCAAGTTGAAACAATCGCGAATTTTGTCACAGAGTCCTTGGTCCGTGTTGCTGGGTGATTAACTCAAATCTAAATGTTCTGTGAAATTAGATCTTCGAGTAAAACTGTTTTCGGTTAGCAGCACTTTCTACTCACATAAATATGGCCTCAACGCGGAAGCCTTGTTCTTGCGGGCAGGAATCCTCTTCAAGTCAAAGTACTTCGAATGTTTTGCGGACCTTGACATTATTAAGGATGTACGAAGCGGAATTCCCTATGTCTTTGGAACACAAGCTGATAGCCACTCGACAGATGTTCTCAAGTCAGTTATACACTCTCAAGTAAAAGTTGTTCAGAGTATCCGATGTTCCAGCATATTCACGACATTCTTGCATAAATATGACACTTACAGATGACACGTGTTGTGCAATAACAAGCTATCTACGCCGAACATCTTCATTGCTCGGATTTCCTAAAAACTCAACAGTGATTGTACATGATTAGCCCATCGTTGCTTTTTACCTGAAGAGTGTACTGCGTCTTCCAGCGTGTGCAGTAAATGATTACAACTGGTAGCGAAGTGACCCGTTCATTTGTGGAACCGGAAATGCTGAAGCCGCTTCTTGCAGTGCTAGACTGTTCCCTTTCGCTATTTCTAACATTTTGCATGACGCCTGCGAGTTTCCATCAGGACAGCGCGCTATACTTTCGCCCACACAGTCTTGTCGTCATGCCTCGTGATCACTTTTGGTTCTAGCGCGAATTACCAACGGACCAGTGATGAGTTTGAGTGGATTTATGTAGATTTTGGTTCTGTAAGAAGTAGATCTCGTTTCTCCTACATTCAAGGCTGACAGCAGGTGAGCTGTACGTAATGAAGATAGACTCTCTGACTGCAGTCGTTCACTCTGAATGGTTTCTTGAAGGATACAGTGGAAGTCCGGAATTTTGAAGCTTTATGCCGCAACGCAAGTTTCAAAATTGACCCTAGTACATTCCTAACTCGCCCAGATATTAATTTTTAAAGCAGCCAACTGAGCCCAAGCTGTAGGCATCTGCTGTTATAATGGGGGGTAGACAGAGATTGACCGAAGTCCGGTTGCTCAAGCAGGTTGTATTTTGTAAAAGCAACGATGCAGGGACTACTTATATTTTCGTTAAGTATCATGGAGTCACTGCGGGTCTGTAGAGTCCCGGTCGGTGGGAGGAAATCGGAAAAGGAGCCAACAATTGGGTCCCGTCTGAGCATTTTGACAAGTTAGATTCCGATAAAGAGTACATCAACAAGTACTTCCATCCCTACTGAATGTGGACCTAAATCACATTGACACAAATACTTGCTTCGTGTGTTAGTGGGACTAGTAAGACCTAAAACCTCGTAGAACGAAGTTAAAGCCAGTATATCGTGCAGGATTTTTGTAACATTCAAGTACCATAAATCGCGACCACCAAGAAAGTGCACATCCGTGAGTCAATGTTATCGATTGATAGTAATTCGGGACGGAACATTTTCAATCTGACTGCTCCGGTTGGTAAACAAATTAACGGATCAAATGTCATTCATGCAGGACCACCAGGTCAGGTTGGCAGCTTATGATCAGAGAGTTTCGTCACCAACCTTGTTGTAGACAGCGTGCTGAGGAGGAAGACTAAACCCAAGAAAGGTAATGGTCCGGTTAAAACTCCCTGATTCATTATCTATATCCAATGTCTTCCGTGCCTCAAGTACCCATGAACAGCTATAAGCTTATCATATCCCTCTGCTGTTCGACTAGACACCTTGAAAACCACAAAGCCTGACGTTTAAGTAACTGCTGATAGACGAGTTTTCAACACCATTTTGAGCGGGCTAGCAACCACCGAATTTTTCAGAATACTTTAACCGAGAAGAATGAAAGTTATGGTTTCTAATGAATCCAACTCCAATAGAACTCGCGTAAAACATTGCGTAAGCATTTCCGGCAGTGGTTAACTAGCAACCCACCGAAGGTCGCTAAACACTCTAAGCGAGTAGTCAGATGTAGACAATCTTAAGGGGTAGTCTGGTCCAAGAGGCATCTGTTACTACCGCTGAGGCGACCACACTGGGCGCTCAACTTTCCTCCTGAAGTTTGATTTCTGGTAGACTGCACCGGGAATAGTTAGACTACCACTTTTCTGTTTCTGAACACTTGGGTATCCACAGGCAGAACACGCTCTCTTTTTATGTCGTTCAGGTTGGAGATCTGTTACAGAAAACCCCTGTCAAAAAATTAACCCCCGCCACCCAAAAAATGATCAGAGAGTTTCGTCACCAACCTTGTTGTAGACAGCGTGCTGAGGAGGAAGACTAAACCCAAGAAAGGTAATGGTCCGGTTAAAACTCCCTGATTCATTATCTATATCCAATGTCTTCCGTGCCTCAAGTACCCATGAACAGCTATAAGCTTATCATATCCCTCTGCTGTTCGACTAGACACCTTGAAAACCACAAAGCCTGACGTTTAAGTAACTGCTGATAGACGAGTTTTCAACACCATTTTGAGCGGGCTAGCAACCACCGAATTTTTCAGAATACTTTAACCGAGAAGAATGAAAGTTATGGTTTCTAATGAATCCAACTCCAATAGAACTCGCGTAAAACATTGCGTAAGCATTTCCGGCAGTGGTTAACTAGCAACCCACCGAAGGTCGCTAAACACTCTAAGCGAGTAGTCAGATGTAGACAATCTTAAGGGGTAGTCTGGTCCAAGAGGCATCTGTTACTACCGCTGAGGCGACCACACTGGGCGCTCAACTTTCCTCCTGAAGTTTGATTTCTGGTAGACTGCACCGGGAATAGTTAGACTACCACTTTTCTGTTTCTGAACACTTGGGTATCCACAGGCAGAACACGCTCTCTTTTTATGTCGTTCAGGTTGGAGATCTGTTACAGAAAACCCCTGTCAAAAAATTAATCCCCGCCATCCAAAAAAGATTAGAAAAAAGAGGATAGGAAATTTGTACTTTTGGTTTTTATTGAAGAGAGTGGAATTGGGACATGTCATGAACCTTTTCATGAAAAGGTTCGTTTTTCGGAACCTTTGCCTCCAAACGAACTCACATAAGTATGTGCGCCGCATTGGCGTTTATTCTGCATCTTGTAGACGTGCCAAGGAGATTCCATGGTTTTTGTGTCCGCTCCAGTGTTTGGATCCAAAAAGTTTTCGGTATGATTGACCGGTTCATGAGTATACTTCATGTTAATCATCGTTTCAATTCCTTGGTATGATGTCCACATATCGGAGGTGATGACTGAGCCGGGAGCGATGCAGGCCTCGACTGTGTCCATCAGAGTGGCCGCAGTTCGATCTGGCGCTGCCTACCTGAACACCTCTTTAGTTTCCCGGCAGATCCCCTTTCGAAGACCGATTCCTTGCCGACACTGTCGGGTATTACACCTTCACCTATCAGAAACAGTTGAAAGTGTCATTTCGTGGCCATTGTTGCAAAAACGTTACTGATGGATCATTCCGTGACTTTGCACAAACGTATTGCCGTCTCCTTGTCATGAACACGAGTTGAAAGCTTCAGAAAGTTCATTTAAGGCTTTACGTCCGACCGGAGAAAATCTTTGCCTAGAATGAGTCTAGATGCGGATAAGGAATTGTTTTCATCAAAAATAGGTCAAGGCTATGTGCGTACATTGAACTGGGGCTGGCAAAAAGTGGCGGGGCTCAACTTTCCGCAAATGCACTTTTTGCATTAGTGGCGTGGCTTATCTGGAAAAGATCCCAGGTTGATTTGAAAGCTCATTTTTGTCATGAATATATTGACCATCTAAGCATCAACGTTTAGCACCAGCACATCACAGACAAACGATCAGTGAGGAAGGAGAGAGGTTGAATCTCTGTCACAGCAGCTTCTCAATTTATCAGTAGCATCGGCGCAGGCCAGGGCCTAACTGCACACCCTTAAATCTCTATGATAGCACTTTATTTTGCAGCCGTTTTTATAAACGAAGAGTGGAGATTAGAATGATATACTTGTACAAAC